CGGGTCAGGATCAGGACCAACCGCCGTTCACGCTGAGCGAAGTCGAAGCGCACGTCGAACGGACGGCTTAGCGGATGTCAGCCCTTGGCCTTCGACTTCGCTCAGGCTGAACGGAGGGCCGGTATTACGACCGAACATAAAATGGCCGTCCCTCGTGCGGAGGAACGGGCCTTTTCCGTCAACCGGTCACATCGATCAGCGATACTTGCCGCTGAACGAGATGCCGATGATGCGCGGCTCGTTGAACACGGCCGCCATATAGTTTTCGATCACGCCCTTCAGGTTCTTCTCGTTCGTGATGTTGCGGGCGAAGACCGACGAGCTCAATCGTCATGCGGCGCGGTATAGCCGATGCTCAGGCCGCCCTCGAAATTGCCGTTCGAGTGAACTCCTTGGTCCGGTAGAGGACGACAGTTCGTATAGCCCTGCAGGTTCAGTCGGTGCTAATGAACGCCTTGCCGCCATTGGCCAGCGGCATGTCGTACTTAGCCGCCGGGTTCAGGTTGTACTCAGGCGCGTTGGGCAGCGGATTGCCGTTGATCTGCGCGAAATAGGCGTTCGCGCCGAACACGCGGCAGGTGACGAACGGGTCGAGCACGGTGCACACCTGCACCCCGTTCAGGCCGCAGGTCTGGGCAAAGACGCGCTTGTCGCAGATCTCAGGTGCAACAGGCTGAGGCCCGCCGACAGCGCCGGAGGTTGCGCACCGGCAGCCACTGCGCATCGGCTTCCATGCCGCAGGCGACCGCCTTGTCGGCGTTGAACAGCACGCCATTGCCGTCCAGATCGTTGCCGTTCAGCTGGATGCCCTTCACGCGATGGGCGAAGGCGGCGGCGTTCAGGCGCAACGTGTTGTTGAACAGCTTCGACTTGAAGCCGGTCTCGAACGACAGGTTGGTTTCCGAATTGGCGGTGGTGAAGTCGGAGTTGAACACCGCCGAGCGGCCTGGATCGTCGGGCCACGGAAGCCTTCGGCCGCGCGGACATAGACGTTCAGTTCAGGGGTGACCTCATACAGCGCCGACAGGTCCCAGCTCGGCTTGGTGTCCGACAGGCGCACGTCGCGGCGACCGCGATGGGTCGACACGCCGGCGGCGCTGTCGGCGGTGCGCAGCAGCTGGGTGCGCTTGGTGTCTCGCTGACGCGACCACCGGCGGTCAGCAGCAGGCGATCGGTCGCCTGATAAGCTGACCTGACCGAACAGGCCCCACGAGGTGTTGACGTTGTGCAGGCGGACCCAGTTATTCGGGTTCGCACCGATCAAGAACGCGCGCTGATAGAAGTCGGTGATGTCGCGGCTGTCGAAATAGATGCCGCCGAACTGCCGCCCAACGGACCGCCCGAGGTCGAGGCCGCGGACTTCCTGCGTCCACTGGTCGAGATCACGGACCTGCCCCCGCTGAGGCCATAGCCATTGGGCTGGCCGTTCACCGGGAAGTTGGTCGCCGCGCCGCCATCGGTGTCGCCCTTGCTGAAGCCGAGGTGGTTTCATAGGCGGTGATCGAGGTCAGCTCGGCCGCGCCCAGATCGAGGCGGCGCGCAGCAGGCGCCCTGTGTGTCATAGGACTGCGGATTGCCGCGCCCTTCGTCGATCGCGACCTGATCGCGGGCTCAGCCGACACGTCGCGCGAACCCTTCTTCAACGCCCCGCGATGGAACAGCGTCGAAGTGCCGTCATACCAGCGGGCGTGGCCGGCGGGTTGAACGACAGCGTCTCGGTCAGCGTGAACAGCAGCTGGAGGCGCACGTCGCGCTCGGTGAAGCCGCCCATCGCGTCCTTCTTGGGCGTCAGCGTGCCGTCGGCGCTGGGGCCAGCATAGACATTGTCGACCCAGTTGTCGCGGTGCTGGACCAGCGCCGACAGGCGGAAGGCCAGCACATCGGCGATCAGCGGGCCGCCGACGCCCGCGTCCATGCTGATCGTGTTGTAGGTGCCGATCGAGGCGGTGGCGCGGCTCTTGAACTCTCCGCTCGGCAGTCGTGTCGAACTTGATGATGCCGGCGGTCGTGTTGCGACCGAACAGCGAGCCCTGCGGCCCCGCAGCACTTCGACCTGATCGACGTCGAACACCGGGTTCGACTTCAGCACGACATGTTCGAGGACGACGTCGTCTGGATGATCGACACCGGCTGCGACGCGCCGAGATAAAGTCGATGTTACCCGTGGCCACGGATGTAGAAGCGCGCGGAAGATGCGGCCCGTGGTGGTTTTCGGCATAGAGGCCGGGGACGCGGCCCGACAGCGCGAATGTCCTCGCCGCCCTGCTGGAAGGCGCGCAGGTCCTCGGCCGCCGACGACGCCGACCGACACCGGCACGCGGTTCAGGCTTTCCGAACGACGCTCGGCGGTGACGACGATGTCGTTCAGCCCGGCCTGTTCATCGCCCTGTTCGCCGGCGGCGTTGGTTATCGTGCCACGGTCGGCGGTCTGCGCGATCGCCGGCACGGCCGCCAGCGTTCCCCACGCCGCGCCCAGCAGCGCCACGTCTGATAACGGACTTCATCTTGTTCCCCACGCTCGACGGATCGGTCGATGCCGTCCGCCTGATTACAATTTCTCCCGGTGAGGGCGGGCGGTTAGAGGCGCATTATGGCGCTTACGTGACAGAGGTGATGCGCTGCGAACACAGTTACAAAGGAATATGCGGTTCGACGCCCGGCACCGTCATGCAACGCAACGCGGCCTGCCGCATTGATGCCCAAAGGGCTGTTTTCGACAGCGCAACGACGGGGATGGCATGGCGGGGGTGGAAACTGGGCGCGAAGCGAGGGGCGGCGAAGGGGCACTGGCGCAGCTGGCATTGCGTTCACCGGCTGGGCCGAACGCTGGTTTCCCGATGCCTTCGTCTTCGTCGCGATCGCGGTGGTGGTCGTGGCCGCCGCCGCGATGATCAACGGTGCGCCGGCGCCCGTCGTGGCCAAGAGCTTCGGCGACGGCTTCTGGACGCTGATCCCATTCACCATGCAAATGGCGTTCGTGACGATCGTCGGCTATGTCGTCGCCACCTCGCGGCCGTTCAGCGGCTGATCGACTGGCTGGCCGAGCGGCCGCGCAGCGCACGGGGGCGATCGGCCTCATCGCCTTTGCGACCATGGTCTCGTCGCTGCTCAGCTGGGGATTGAGCCTGATCTTCGGCGGGCTGTTGGCGCGGGGCCTGCGCGCGGCGGACCGAGCTGCAAATGGATTACCGCGCGCGGCGGGGCGGCGGCTATCTGGGACTGGGGGCGACGCTGGGCGATGGGGCTGTCCTCCTCCTCGGCGCAGCTACAGGCCAATCCCGCCAGCCTGCCGCCAGCCCTACTGCCCATCACCGGCGTCATCCCGTTCCAGCCAGACCATCTTCCTGTGGCAGTCGATGCTGATCGCCGGCGTGTTGATCATCCTGTCGACGATCATCGCGGTCGCCTCCGCGCCCGGTCGTGATACCGCCGTCACCGCGCAGGATATGGGCATCGATCCGGCGCGCGGCGGATGACCTGCCCCCGCGCACCCAGCCGGGCGAGTGGTTGGAACATGCGCCGCTGATCACCATCCTAATCGGGCTGCTGGCGTTGGGCTGGCTGGTGCAGGAGTTCGCGCGACAGGACTGGATGATCGCCATCTCCAACCTGAACACCTACAACTTCCTGTTCCTGATGGCGGGGCTGGTGCTGCACTGGCGGCCTAAGCGCTTCCCTGATCGCTCTGGGTCGTTCGGTGCCGGCGACGGCGGGCATCCTCATCCAATATCCCTTCTATGCCGCCATCGCCGCGATGCTGACCGGTGCGACCAATGCCGCGGGGATCGGCGTCGCCGACCGGATTGCCCATGCTTTTGTCGCAATGAACACGCAGGCCAGCTTTCCGCTGACCATGGGGGCCTATTCGGCGATCCTCGGATTTTTTATTCCATCGGGCGGCGGCAAAATGGCTGCTGGAGGCGCCCTATGTGATGCAGGCGGCCAACGAATTGCAGGTCCATCTCGGCTGGGCGGTGCAGATCTACAAATGCGTCCGAGCGCTGCCCAACCTGATCAACCCCTTCTGGATGCTGCCCTTGCTGGGCATCTTGGGGCCTGAAGGCGCGCGACATCGTTGGCTTCAGTTTCCTGCAGTTGATCGTCCATCTGCCGGTGGTGCTGTTCCTGCTTTGGGCACTGTCCTTCACGCTGTCTTATCACCCGCCGGTGATGCCCGGAACCGGATGACTGTCACATAGTTGTAACCCGGTTTTGCTTGACGTGATGCCTGCGGCTGGTCAGGGGGCGGCGTTCGTACCATCTTCCGTTCATGTCCCTGTTACGGTCCGGCGTTTCGCCGTGGCCCGATAGGCCATGGGCCAAAGACGTGTATGATATCGGATCACTATCGGGGGTTTACCGACTGATGTTCGCTTTGGTTTCAACGCCTTCTGCCGAAGACGGGCAATTTTTTCGAACTGTTCGAGGCGCAGGCCGCGACGATCTGGCAGGGGCCGAGGCCACCGTCCGGCTGTTCGACACGCAGGGTGACACCGCCGACGAGATCGCCGTCGTCGCCGCGCGCGAGCATGACGCGGACGAGATCACGCGCAAGGTGCTGACCTCGGTCCGCTCGACCTTCCTGACGCCGTTCGACCGCGCCTCGATCACCTCGCTGATCGGCTCGCTCGACGACACGATCGACGAGATGCACGCCGCCGCCACCGCGATCGGCCTGTACCAGCTGACCCGCTTCGCCCCGAAATGCGCGAGATGGCGACCGTCGCGGTCGAGGCGGCTCGTCTGACCGTCGAGGCGATGCCGCTGATGCGCGACGTCGCGCGCAACGGCGACCGGCTGCACGCGCTGACCGAGGAGCTGGTCCGCCCGGAGGGCCGCGCCGACGACATCCATGCCGCCGGTCTGAAGCGCACGCTGGAGGAATGCGGCGAGCGCGACACGCTGCGCTTCGTGATTGAGCGCGAGGTGTACAAGCATCTGGAGCGCATCCTCGACGCGTTCGAGGATGTCGCCGACGAGATCGACGGCATCGTCATCGATCACGCCTGAGGCGGCGGCCATGCACGAACTCGCCTTTCCCCTGCTGGTCGGCCTGATCCCCGGTCGCGCTGGCGTTCGATTATCTCAACGGCCTGCATGACGCGGCCAATTCGATCGCGACCGTGGTGGCGACCCGCCTGTTGTCGCCGGTCGCGGCCGTGGTGTTCGCCGCCTTCTTCAACTTCGCGGCCTATTTCCTGACCGTCGCCTTTCCCAGCCTGCATGCGGTGGCCGAGACGATCGGCAAGGGCCTGATCGACAAGAGCATCGTCACGCCCGCCGTCATCTTCGGCGCGCTGGGCAGGGCGATGGCGTGGAACGTCATCACCGGCTGCGCGGTATCCCCTCGTCGAGCAGTCATGCGCTGGTCGGCGGGCTGGTCGGTCGCAGGGCGTCGCCCATGCCGGCATGGACGCGGTGAAATGGGCGGGGCTCAACAAGACACTGATCGCCATCGTCCTGTCGCCGATGCTGGGTATGATCCCGCCATGCTGCTGGTCATGCTGCTGAGCAGTTGGGGCTTGCGCCGGTCGAGCGCAGGCAGGCGGAGCGCAGCTTCCGCGCGATGCACCTCGTCTCCTCGGCCGCCTATTCGCTCAGCCACGGCCTGAACGACGCGCAGAAGACGATGGGGATCATCACCGTGCTCCTCTATTCAACCGGTCGCCTGTCGGGCCCGTTCGAGGTGCCGCACTGGGTCGCCATCTCCTGTTATGTCGCGATCGCGCTGGGCACGATGACCGGCGGCTGGCGGATCATCGAGACGATGGGCACCCGCATCACCAAGCTGTCGCAGCATCAGGGCTTCAGCGCCTCGACCGCCGGGTCGATCGTGATTTTCTGGCCTCGGCCATGGGCATTCCGTGTCGACGACGCATACCATCACCGGCTCGATCATCGGCGCGGGCGTGGCCGAGCGGGCCTCGGCGGTGCGCTGGGGCGTGGCGGGCAATGGGTGATCGCTGGATCATCACCATCCCGGCCTCCGCCGCGATGGGGGCGGGCTTCTACCTGCTGACCCGGTTGTTCTGATACGAGGGGGGCGAAAGTCCTCCCTTTTTATGATCCTCCCCGATACGGGGAGGGTGGCGACCCACAGGCCTGACGGAGGGCTTCTCACAGGTGGTACGGCGAATAGCCCCCTCACCATCCTTCGGATGGTCCCCCTCCCCATTGCGGGAGGATAGGTGTAACTTTCGACTGCGCTCAGGCGGAACGGAGGATGGGGATGGACTGCATTGGCCCATCCCCACCCTCACGACCCGTGACCGGCCCCACCGGCGGCTTTGGAACAGCGCGACCGTATCGGTCATCCGCGCCGCCTTACCGGATCAGCTGCGAGCGGGCCTGCGCGTCCGTGGCGGTGGCGTTGAGCAGTTGCAGCGTCCCACATCGCCCAGCGCCAGCTGACGCCGCGCGAAGGTCAGCGCACAGCCGGCCCATTGCTCGCCCGCTGTGCCGCGTCGAGCGCCACGGGCGTCGGTCAACAGGCCGGTCAGCGAGGTCTGCGACATTGCCGAACGCGCACGGAGCACCGCCGCGCGATACTGTGCCTTGGCGCCCTCAAAGCCGCCTCCGCCGCCTTTTGCTGGTGGCGTAGCGCATTGGCATGGAACAACGGCTGGGTGATCCCGCCGAGCAGCGCCCAGAAGGATTGCCGCTCTTGAACATGTCGCCGAAATTCTGCGCCGAGCCGCCGGCATTGGCCGAGCTGGATGCTGGGCAGACGCGCGGCGATCGCTGCGCCGACATCGGCACCGGCCCCCTGCAATTGCGCTTCGGCGGCCAGCACGTCGGGGCGGCGATGGACCAGCTCGGACGGTACGATGGCAGGCAGTTCGGTCGGCAGGGTCAGTTGCGACAGGTCCGGCAGCGGCGGCAGGGCCGATCCTGGGCACGCCCGATCAGCGTCGCGATAATCGTCCGCTGCGCCGCTTCGGCGCGGACCAGCGGGGCAGGCGCCCTCGGCTGTCGCAGTGCGGCCTGTTGCGTCGCCACATCAGGCGCCCACCGCGCCCAGTCGTTGCCGCTGTTGCAGCGCGCCGGGATATCGCGATTGACCTGCACCGCCGTCTGCGCGGCGGCGACCTGTTCAGCGAGGCTCGCCCGTTCGATGAGCGCGGTAACGAGATTGGCGGCGACCGTCATGCGCGCCGCGTCGAGCTGATGCCGCTCCACCTCGGCGCGTGCGGCGGCGGGCGGACCTGCGCCCGGTTGCCGCCGAACGCATCGACGTCGCCGGATACGCTGACCTGCGCGGTGTGCAGCGTGTAGAGTTGCTGGTTCTGGTCGGCGACCGCAGGCGACAGCGCGTTGGACACGCGGGTCCGCTGCGCGCTGGTAGTTCAGCCGCCTTGCAGGAAGAGCAGCAGCCCTGGTCGCCCGTGCCTGTTCCTGCGCCTGCCGCAGCGAGGCCTCTGCCACGGCCACATCGTTATGTGCGCCAGCGCTTCGGCGACCAGCGCGTCGAGTTGGGCATTGCCGAAAGGCGTGCCACCATTCAGGCGCGATGGTGGCGGATACCGTCTGCGCCGGGCCGCTGGCCAGGGGCGATCACCGGCGCGGGCGCCAGCGGCGCAGGCTGGCATGCGCGTCCAAGTCATGCGGGCCGACGGCGCACGCGGAGACACAGGCGAGCAGCAGCAGGGTCAGGAAACGCTTCATGCCGGAACCCCAGAGTCGGAGATGGTGTCAGAGGTGCGGGTATCGCCACGGTCGTCGACCATCGGGTCATGCTTCTTCTTACGCTGCGACAGCGGCAGACGGGTCGAAAAGCGGCTGATGAGCACCGGCAGGACCAGCAGGATCAGCACCGGGGCGAGCGTCATGCCGCCCACCACGACCAGCGCGAGGGCTTCTGCACACGGCTGCCGATGCCGTGCGAGAGTGCGGCGGGCAGCAGGCCGATGGCAGCGACGAGACAGGTCATGACGACCGGGCGCAGGCTGTTCTTGACGGTGGTGGCCAGCGCATTCTCACGCGGCGCACCTTCGTCGATCGCATTGTTGAAGGTGGTGACGACCGGGATGCCGTCCATCACCGCGATGCCGAACAGCGCCACGAAGCCGATCGCCGCCGAAATGCTGAACGCCGTGCCGGTCAGGGCGGGGCCAGCACGCCGCCACGATCGCCATCGGGATCGCGGAGAAGGCGAGCAGGCTGTCGCGTATCGAGCCGAAGTTCGCATAGAGCAGCAGCAGGATGAGCACGAGGCTGATCGGGACCACGATCTCCAGCCGGGCGATGGCGTTCTTCAGGTTATCCAGCTCGCCCGCCCATTCCGGTGATAGCCCGGCGGCAGTGGACATTCTGGTTGATCCGCGCACGGGCCTCCTCGACCGCGCCGCCCAGATCGCGGCCACGCACCGAGAATTTGATCGGCACGTAACGCTCCTGATGCTCGCGGTAGATGAACGAGGCGCCGCTGGTCAAGCGACGTTGGCGACCTCGGACAGCGGCACTGGATGGTTCCCGTTTCCATCGGGCGACAGCGCCCCGATCGTGATGTTGCGCACCGATTCCAGCGAAGTCGCGCTGGGCGGGCTGCAACCGCACGATGATCAGGAAGTGGCGGTCGGTGCCCGGCTCGTAAAGGTCAGCTGTCGACTGGCCGCCGATCGCAGCAACGACCGTCTGGTTGATGTCGTCGGGCGTCAGGCCGTAACAGGCGGCTTTGGCGCGATCGACATCGATGCGCACGGTCGGCTGGCCCGAGTTTCCGAACACGCCGAGATCCTCGATGCCCTTCACCTTGGCCATCTGCGCCTTGATCTGGTTGGCCAGCTTTTCCAGCGTGACGAGATCAGGGCCGAACAGCTTGATCGAGTTGGCGCCCTTCACGCCCGAGGCGGCTTCCTCGACGTTATCCTCGATGATCTGCGAGAAAGAGAAGTCGACGCCGGGATATTTCGCGGCCAGCCGCTTCGACAGTTCGTCGATCAGCTTCTCCTTGGTCATGCCGGACGGCGGTGTCGAAGGGCTTCAAGGGCACGAAGAATTCGACGTTGAAGAAGCCGGTCGCGTCGGTACCGTCGTCAGGGCGGCCATGGGCGAACAGGACCGCCGTGGTTTCCGGATAGCTGGCGATGATCTTGCGCACCTCGTTGGTCACCTTCTCGCCGCCTCGAAGGGCTGATCGAGGGGGGAGGGTTAGCGGATGTACATATTGCCTTCTTCGAGGTGCAGCAGGAACTCGATGCCGAGCGAGCGCACGCCGACCACCGCGAGACCCAGCATCAGCACCGCGCCGCCGATCGTCACGATCTTGTTGCGCAGCGCGAAGGACGCGGCAGGTTCGTAGATGCGGCGCAGCTTGCCGACGATGAAGGTCTCGGTCTCAACCAGCTTGTCCGGCAGCAGCAGCGTCGAGAGCACCGGCGCGACGGTGAAGGTCGCGGAAATGACCGCCGCTGATCGCATAGGCATAAGTCTTGGCCATCGGGCCGAAGATATGCCCTCGACGCCGGTCAGGGTGAACAGCGGCAGGAAGCTGGCGATGATGATCGCAGCGGCGAAGAAGATGCCCGCAGCTGACCTCGCTCGACGCGCCCAGCACCGCGCCGAAGCGGCTGGCCATGGTGTAGCGGCCCTGACCGTTCTCCGCGGGCGGCGGATCGCTCGACCATGTGGCGGAAGATATTCTCCACCATGATGACGCAGGCATCGACCACCGGAACCGAAGTCGAGCGCGCCGACCGACAACAGGTTCGCACTCTCCCCTGCAACACCGGGATCAGGATCGCGAAGGCCAGCGCAAAGGGATGGTCGCCGCCACGATGATTGCCGAGCGCAGATTGCCGAGGAACAGCCACTGCAGCGCGAAGATCAGCAGGATGCCCACCACCATGTTTTCCCATGACGGTGTGGATGGTCAGGTTGATCAGGTCGGAACGGTCGTAGATTCGCTCAGATGGACGCCGGGGGCAGGACGCCGCTGTCGTTGATATTGGCGACCTCGGCACGGACGGCCTTGATCGTCGGCATCGACTGGGCGCCGCGCTGCATCAGGACGATGCCCTGCACGATGTCGTCGTCATTGTTGTACCCGGCGATGCCCATGCGCGGGGCGTTGCCGATCTTGACGGTCGCCACGTCCTTGATGAGCACAGGGGTACCGCCCGCTTCACCGACCAGCACGTTCTCGATCGCATTCGGCGACTGGATCAGGCCGACGCCGCGCACGATCGCGGCCTGTTCGCCGAAGTTGATCGTCTGGCCGCCGACATTGCCGTCGCTCTTGGACCAAGGCCGCCAGCACCTGTGCCACGGTGACGCCGTGGGCGTTCAGCCGGTTCTGATCGATCACCACGTCATAGGCGCGCAGCTTGCCGCCCCAGCCAGTCACGTCGATGACGCCTGAATCCGCTTGAACCGGCGCTGGAGCACCCAGTCCTGCAGCGTCTTCAGGTCCATCACCGAATAACCCTTGGGCGCGGCGATGCGGTAACGATAGATC